AAGTTATCTCAGGGCAGTAGTTTCAGGGGTTCATTCAGCCTCCATGGCTCCAGAAACTTGAGTCTGTGAGAATTTGACATTCTGTGCTGCATACATTACCTTGTTTTATTTTCTTCAGAATAACTACGACTGATTCAAACGATCATAGTCATTTGTTTAGTTATTTAACGTCTCCTTGTCCTTAACGCAAACTCCTAGAGGGGAAGGATATTTTGCAGATTTCAGTGCTAAATTCCCAGTGCCTGGCATATAGTAAGGAGATCTGTGGTGGCGTAGTGCCTAAGGCATTTGACTGCTAACTAGAAGGCTGATGGTTCAAACCCAGCAGCCGCTCTGCAGAAGGAAGATGGGACAATCTACTTCCCTAAAGGTTTACTGCCTTAGAAACCAGTGGGGGTCGCTATGAGTTGGAGTCAACTGGTTGGTAGTGGGTTGTGGCATATAGTAGTCAATCAGTGCATGTTTGTTGAATAAAGAGACACGTCTTGATGCAAAGCCAACGTTTGGCAAATGCCTGTTTCACAGACCGAAAACAGAAGAGCTCAGAGGTGAGGTGCTGGAGGCCCACCACAAGCCCAGCGATCACAAGGTCTCGGAGCAGCACCCGGGGGCGCGGCAGGGGCGGGGCCGCCCAACCGGAACCGAGAGTCGCGGCGGCCGCGGTTTCCGGCCGCGGCGGACACTTCCCGCGGAAGGACTGTCCCGTGGCACCTGGCGGGGCCTTGAAAGACGCGGCGTGAGCAGCGGCGATGGATAACCAAGGCCTGGAGGAGTTCCGTCGGCGCTGGCAGGAGGAGCTGGCGCAGGCCCAGGCGCTGAGGAAGCGGCGGCGACCCGAGGCTACCGAGCGGCGGGCACGGCGGCCGGAGCTGGTGCCCGGGCGCGGCGAACAGGCCTCGGGGTACCTGGCACTGGCTCAGGGACTCCTGGAGGGCGCGGGGCGACCCCCGGCCCCACGGGCCACCCGGGCCGAAAGGCAGGACGCGGCGAGTCGCTCTCGCTCCCCTCAGGCCCGCGAGGACCCCTGGGGCGGGGAGCAGCTGGTGGACCAGCTCATTCGCGACCTGGTGAGTGTGGCTGTCGCCTCCTGCCGAGCCCCGGACTGGCCCCCGTCCCTGGGACAGACCGCACAATGAGTTGGAAAGTAACTCGGTGTGTCATCAGTGTCGGACAAAATGAGCAGGAGTGTACACAAAAACGTTCGTGCACGCCTGAGCTTCCCAACCAGGGGCGCTTGTGCTCTGGTCTGGCCGTGTATGGAGGAGACAGTGTTTTCTGGGGCATCTGTTGTGGGGAGGGCCGGGGAGGCTGCTGAGTAGTGTACAATGCATAGGACAGCCCCCCACTCCCCCAAATAATAAATTATGGGGTCCAAGATGTCAGTAGGCCTGAGGTTGGCACACACTGATCCGGGAAGGATACCCAAACTATGCACAACTCTTGCCGTGGTAGGAGGAGGCCTTGAACAGGAATGGGAAGGCATGTTAACTTTTCTCAGTATGCTGCTTGTGCTGTTTGACACTTTCTAACTGTATGTATATTTTAAAAATTAACGCAGAAGGAAACAAAAAGAATCCCTTGGACACACTCGTTA